CTTGGGGCTCACCTGCCCCACACACTGGGGCCGGGACAGCCCTCTGCCATTGAGAAGTGGGTCCCGGTGCAGAAGAGGATGAGAATTCCAGGCCCGCGCTCCCACCGCCCCCGGGCTCGACGGGAGACCCCGCAGCACGGCCGGGACACCCGAGGCCCAGCCCGCTCCCCCGCGTCGCGCCCCGTACATAGCGCTGGTAGAACTTGGAGAGGCGCGGTTTGCCGTGGTTGTTGAAGATGAGGATGGCCTTGATCATGGCGAGGCAGGCGCGAGGGTCAAAATCCAGCAAGCACGCAACCCCATAGCAACGTGTCAGTCGAGACCGGGACCCGCCCTCCCGCTGCCCTTTGCCAGGAGTTAACATGGCGCGCCCGGTATACGGTGGGCGTCACTTCCGCCCGTCCTGTCCAAGGAGCAGCATGGCGGAAGTACAGGAGCAGGAGCAGCGGCAGCTGCCGCCGTCGCCTCCTCTCTCTCCTCAGGATGGCGGCCAAGGCGAGGGTGGGGAGGACGCCCCAGAAACGGGGTCTTCGGAGGGAGGTGCCGAGCCGCCGCCCCCAACGGCGGGCTCCCCAGGCACCGAGGAACCTGCGGGCGACGCCAAAAAGAAAAGTAATGCGAACGGCAGCTATAGGACCTTGGGGGCGGGGCGAGAGCTGACTGTTCTGATGGCCCGGCGCCTAGGCTAATCAGAGGCAAAGAGTGGACGTAGCTGTGCCAATCGTGAGCGAGCGGAGCATACCATTCGGTATACGGGAGGGGGTGGACTCGAGAGTTAACCGCTCTGTGGGTCAATGGGGGAGGGGGGGGCGGGAACATAAAACATACCTAGCTCCACCAGTCTTGAAAGGGCAGAGCCTACCATTGGGTATTGGGGAGGTGGGAGGGAATGAGAGCTAAAAGCTCTGATAGGCTGGTGCATGGGCCAGTTGGGGGGGAAAAGAAATGAGCTGTTACACCAAACATGAGAAGGCAGAGCGTACCAGTTGCTATGGGGGGGGCATGGTGGCAGCAGGATCCCACCCCGTTAACCTCCATGTCTGCTTGCAGTTGATGTCCTGCT